ACAAGGAGTTGACTTCTTCCAGACCTTCTCCCCTACCACGAAGATGACCACTCTTCGGGTGCTGCTGCACGTCGCCGCTCAGCGTGACTACGAGCTTCACTCCCTTGACTTCAGCACAACTTTCTTACAGGGCAGCCTGCACAAGGAGATCTGGCTGCGCCACCCACCTGGCTTCACTGGGTTGTTTCGTGCAGGTACCCAGTGGAGCCTCCGACGGCCAGACTACGGTCTCCGCCAAGCGCCTCGCGAGTGGCACGACACACGGAGGACGACGCTTGCGGCTCTTGGGTTTGCTCCTTCGACTACTGACCCGTCGCTGTTTCTGCGCACTGACAATTCGCTGCCGCCGTTCTACATCTTCGTGTACGTCGACGACTTGGTTTTTGCCACTGCTGACACTGAGGCACTAGCCCTTGTGAAGTCAAAGCTGCAGAAGAGACACACCTGCACTGACCTGGGTGAGCTGCGCAGCTATCTTGGCTTGCAGATCACCCGGGACAGAGCACGGCGCACCATCACCCTGCGCAGCTATCTTGGCTTGCAGGTCACCCGGGACAGAGCACGGCGCACCATCACCCTTACTCAGTCACACATGGTGCACCAGGTCCTTCAGCGCTTCGGCTTTCGGTTCTCCTCGTCACAGTCCTCTCCTCTGCCTACCGGTCACTTGCTCTCAGCTCCACCTTCGGACGAGTCCGTATAGCCAAGTGGCCCGTATCCAGAGCTTGTGGGCTGCCTCATGTACTTGATGACATGCACTCGACATGACCTTGCCTACCCTCTTAGCATCCTGACACGCTACGTTGCGTCCGGGAGACACCGACCAGAGCACTGGGAGGCCACTAAGAGGGTGTTGCGCTACTTGTGCAGTACATCGGGCATGGGGCTCGTGCTTGGAGGACGGGGTCCAGTTGTCCTCACTGGACACGCAGACGCTTCTTGGGTTGACGACTTGGCTACGCAGCGATCGTCACAGGGTTACACCTTCAGCCTTGGCTCCGGCTCTGTTTCTTGGCGGTCTACCCACCCGTCTTCTATTCTCAGTTCTAGTTTTGAGGCTGAGATCTACGCAGGGGCCATGGCTGCACAGGAGTTACGCTGGCTCACCTACCTGCTGGCCGACTTGGGAGGGCGGCCTCGTTCTCCTCCAATTCTATACGTAGACAACAAGGCCATGATTGCTTTGTGTCAGGAGCACAAACTGGAGCATAGGACGAAGCACGTCGCTTTGTGTTACTTCCTTGCTTGAGAGTTGTAGCAGTGTGGTCAGCTTCGTCTTGCTTACGTGGCCACTCGGGCCAACACTGCTGGTATATTCACCAAGGCACTTCAGCCTGGTGATCATCAGCGTTTCTGTACTGTTTTAGGCCTTGTGCCTGTTTTGTCTCACTTGCTCACTGCGTGACTTTGCTTGTACTGTGATCTATATATACGTATACCTGCATGCTTACCCCTGCTAGGTTATGATCACTGTACTGTTTGTTCTCGTTTATATAACTCTACATGTGGACTGGCCTTGTGGCCATTTGCTTGAGCTCAGAGTGTGTGGTGACTTTGTGATCCACCCTGAGCTTGCTTTGCTTTTTTTTTCTTGACTGGTCTTGTGACCTCCTGTTCTCCCCCATTTTGCCTATGGGGGTGTGTCAAACTTTTATAATGCTTATATTGTGTAGGCTGTAGTGGGGTATCCCATAAAGGGTACAACCCAATTAGGGTTAGTACTTGTACTCAGTTTCTTGTCAATGCATTCATTCTCGTTCAACTTTTTTACAGTGGAGGTTGTCAGAAGATTTGCACTGTGAGATCCCCGATTGATCCTTGGAGGGTTACAGGCCTGTTAGCCTGGGGGTTATGGGCGCACTGACTCGCTACTGAAACAAGCCCTTTTATCCCAATGGTCTAGTGGTTGGGATTCTGACATGGTATCAGAGCGGTCTCGGGTTCGAATCCCGGTGTATGCACATGCAGGCCGTTGCCGCTGTGCCAAGTCCTGGACCTCCCAGTGTGGGGGGGTGTCAGAAGATTTGCACTGTGAGATCCCCGATTGATCCTTGGAGGGTTACAGGCCTGTTAGCCTGGGGGGTTATGGGCGCACTGACTCGCTACTGAAACAAGCCCTTTTGTCCCAATGGTCTAGTGGTTGGGATTCTGACAGAGGTATCGCCAACCGAGGCGGCAACTTCCTCCATACCTTCATCCCTACCATTGGCCTTGACCCGCAAGCGTCGTGAGGTTCGTCCTCACCCCAAGTAGACCGACTATGCTACGGTAGCCGTTGGGGAGTTGGATAATGAGAAAACGGCGTTTTGCTTCTCGACCAAGGGTGATGATGAACACGCGGATTCTCTCATGTAACCACCCCCTAAAGATTCATCTCGTGCATGCTATGAGCATGTTGGATTCCACACCTATTGGGTTGGGTGCAAGGGGGAGTGTTGGAGGTCGCGTATGTTCAAAGAAAACGGTGGTGGGGTAGTTGTATTGTCAGAATCCCAACCACTAGACCATTGGGATAAAAGGGCTTGTTAAGTAGCGGGTCAGTGCGCCCATCACCCCCCAGGACAACGAGCCTGTAACCCTTCCCTAGGATCAATCGGGGATCACCAGTGGACCTCTGACACCCCCCCGCACTGGGATGCCCGAAGTGCACACACTGGGATTCGAACCCGAGACCTTCGCTCTGATACCATGTCAGAATCCCAGTCACTAGACCACTGGGATAAAAGGGCTTGTTAAGTAGCGGGTCAGTGCGCCCATAACCCCCCAGGACAACGAGCCTGTAACCCTTCCCTAGGATCAATCGGGGATCACCAGTGGACCTCTGACATGTATGCCCCCAACCCACCGAATGTGTTTCTTCTAGTGCTCACGAGTTGCGTGAGCTGCAAGGAGTGAGTTGATTTCGGAAGACCCACTCAATAGGTGCCACATGGCAACACAAGAAGAGTCGAGATTGAAGAAGAATTCGGTTCGGTGAAATTCGGGTGCCGAATTTCAACCCTTCGAATTGTTACACGAATGTTTGTGATGCATCTCGTAGTGACTAGATGTTACATGCGCGACCCGATGTGTTGAGCAGCTACAAATTTGTTTGCCTTGTTTGCGTGTTTTTCACACTTGAAAACGTGAATCACTTTGTACACAGTGCAACTCGACACAAATTCCAGAGAGTTTCCAATCCTTCAACATAGAGCATAGGTTTCACGTTAGTAGTCATATCTCGCTCGATACTTAGGCGATCGAGGTGATCTACGGCCCGTTGGAAAGCTAAGACAGTGCTCTACAGATTAGTACAAATCCCAGTTCCTGCAAAGTAGAGGATAAGCCTTTACAGAAAAGGAGAGTTGGATGGACTAGTGGGATGAAATCACTCAAGACTGTGTTACAGATACACTGCAGGTTTTGAGACGTCTAAAACTTCTGAACGAAAAGCCAAACACTGTAGCCAAACACTGTAACAGTGGCAAATTACGAGCACTGCCCATAGCAGCAGCCGTGGCAGGACCCCCCACACTGGCGTTGGATGCTACCATTAGCTGATGAGAGGAGATGGGAAGGGATGGAGAAAGGAGGGAAGCGACATAAGGGAGGTTATGGGGCGTCTCGAAGCAGTCATGGAAGATATGCTAGGGTAGGAAAGAAATGAGGGGCAAAGGGGTATAGAAGGACAATAGGAATGGGATAGAACAATTTTCTTTCCTTTTTTCCAATCATCCGCACAGGAAATCGCTTCACACCAAAACATATGTGATGCCGTAATATTGCGTTTTTAATTGGCTCCACATAATTGCGCCTGTTTCTCTATGGAAACGCGGAGGCATTACTTCCATCAGCTAGCGCGTTTTAGGACAGCGAGACGAACCCCTTGGGTCAAGTTAGTGGAAGGCGCCTGGTCAGGTGAGTGTGTATTCTATAAAATAATCAGTCAGACAGAGTATGCTGTTAGGTTGTGTTAGTGTGATGCGATGTTGTTACAATTTCAACAGACTTGCCCTCGCGAACAAGCTTCGCCAAAGATTTTCGCATGTGAGGCAGATGCGGCAACATTTCTTTGGACTGGAGCCGATGTCGTTCGCATTTCAGATATTTCGATTCGAAAGTTAGTACGGGTCCCCGCCCATGCTGCGAGTGTCGCGTTGGTGTGCATTGCTGTTTCTTATCGGGTCGAGCGGAACTGGCGTCTGCTCGCCCCCATAATTCTTCTTGCAGTTCCACAGTGGGCTTGCTTTCTTGCCGAATTGTTTGGGTGCTGGGTACCTCCTCTTCACAGCTGTAGTGGAAGTTCTTGGCTTTTCTGTTTCCTGCATTCTCTTTACAGCGTTCCTTAGCTTTTGCATTGCTCGGCGTTCCTTGCTTCTGCCTTGCATATTTGGGTCGCCTCGCAAGTCATATCGCTGCTGAGAGTTCCTTTGCTTCTGAAGTGCATCACAACCTTCCGAGTTTCTACCTCCTTTCGTTCCAGTCGTACCCACCGCACCGTCCGAACTGAAAGTCAGTGCTCTCGCGAACCAGTGCTCTCGCAAACTTCCCTTGAATCACTAACTACTCAATCACCGGGAGAAGCGTCCACCTGCAATCTTTCCGCGTCGCACGTCGCACGCCGCACGTCGCTCGTCGTCATGTTTCTTTGGATAGTGCGCCTCGCGAAGAAACTCAAGGCAAAGATCCGCGGCAAACGCGCCGCAAGGCGCGGAGAGCCACAGAGCGAAACGCCAGCGACTTAGTCATACTGTACAAGGCTTCAGAAGTAAAGATATCCTCGTCTTCCTATATATGATCTTGTTATGCTGATTAATCATTGGCTAATTATATGTCATGTGAGAAGCTCGCGTTGATTTCAGCTGCCCTAAGCTGCAGCACGCTGTTTCTTTCCCATACGGTAAAACTAAACAACCGTTACACTATTTTGCCACTTGATTCCAAACAGAGGATTATTACCGTAGCTGCATGGAAGGTGTTCCAAAATACTGAACTTCTGGTACCAGCATATTGGTAGCAGGTCACAATACTTTAGCGAGAGCAGCTGCTGCCATGGGCTGCAGAACGTTGATTCCGAGCAGAAAGGCAATGGCTGTTCCGATGGTGTAGCCAAATGTGCCGAGTAACACTGCAGGGCGCACCTGAGAATCAAGGTATCATAAACAAGGGAATATTGTTGAGTGCTCTGGACTGAAACAGTGCATACTGCTCATCAACATGAGGAAAAAAAAGGGAATTAATTATGGTTAAGTTGACTGGAGGTACTGTACCGTACGTACCTTTTATCGACCAAATGTAAACGCACTGCATTCTTTCTGAATGGGAGTTTGAGCAGTCTCAAACCTCACTTCTGCATTGCAGGTTTTGAGACGTTTAAAAGTTTAACACAAAAGTTTCAACCACTGTAGCATGTCTCACCAGTTGGGGCCAATTGCGGGCACTGGCCATAGCAGCAGCCGTGGCAGGTCCGCCCACATTGGCATTGGATGCTACCATAAGCTGATGAGGGGGAGGTGGGAGGGGTGGGGAAGGAAGGAGAGACGCGACATAAGGGAGGTTATGGGGCGTCTCGAAGCAGTCGTGGAAGAGATGCTAGCGAAGGAAAGAAACGAGGGACCAGAGAGGTAGGAGAAAAGTAACAGGACAGAATGCCGGTTTTTTTTTTGTTTTTTTTTTTTTTTTTTTTTTTTTTTTTTTTTTTTTTTTTTTTTTTTTTTTTTCTTCTTCTTCTTTTTTCTGCCTAGGGAATCACTATACGTAAAAAAATTTGTGATGCGGTGACAGTGTGTTTGTTATCGACTCTGCATTGTTCCGGCCAGTTTATGTATGGGAACTAGATGGACAAAAAAAGAGAGTGAGGAGCCAGAGCATGAGCGATAAGAAAAGCTTGCCTAAGGAAAAGGAAAACAATGCTGCACTTACAATATCAAGTGGGATGTTGAGGAGTCTTCCCCCTAGAAGAACTACTACAATGTGAACCTGATGTGGCGGGCGTATCGTGCAGCAAGGAATGGAAAAGAGGGAAAGATCAGGAGTTTGGAAATGCCTACGAGTGGCTGAGGGAAAACAGAGAACAGAGAACAAAACAACAAAAGGGAATAGATTGCAACTTGTGGTGGAAAAAACGACTCCTTCAAACTACAATTATCAGGAGCCACAACCAATGAGCAGCAGCCATGACATACCATTAACACAGTTGCAACGAATGCAAGCAGACCACCACCAGCAGACATGGCTTCAGACACACTTGCTGACGCTCCTATCTGCCAGAGAAAGGGTAAAAGATAGTTAAATGGTCAAGACAAATTAGGTAGCACCAACACGTGTGCTAGCTTAAAGCCCGAAATCCTATCTCCCTCAGACATCTCAAGGGTGCCTGGAAAACGCTGATTGATGCCCATGAAGGAAAGGGGGTGACAATTAACTGGCTCGGTTATGGGCGCGCAGCAGGGCTTACATTTGCAAAGAAGACCAGCATTAGGGCGTTCCCAAGCGTCTCTGCTCCTGTAAATAGTGAACCTCTCTCCTCTCCCTCCAACCCTCCCTCTCCCGTCTCTCTCTTCTCCCCAATTCCTGTCAGCCTGTTTGCTACAGTTGACAGGAGGGAGGCCAGCACAGCGGCAAGCGCCAGCTGTGCCGAGGCCATCACGGGCGGCAGATGGACGGCAATTTTGTCTGCTAGCGCGCATGCTGAGGCGGCAGCAGCTATGGAGAGAGTGAGGGACTCTACCGAGGGGGCGGGGGGTGGAGAGTGAGTGAGGGATGAGGAGGAGGGAGGGGAGGGAGAAGGCAGAGGAGCAGAGGAGTGCAACAATGAGGAAGAGGAAGAAGAGGCGTAAGAGGAAGGAGAGGAGGTGGGAGACGTGGAGGAGTGGAGGAGAGGAGCAGAAAGCCCTGTATCTGGCCCTTTCTCTGACTCAGAATCGCCTCCCAGCTTCAGCCCTCCCAGCTTCACCCCTCCCCACCTCTCCCCACCCCACGGCTTGGGCCAGGAGTCAGGGAGAGCAGCAAGCACCGAGAAGTAAGCAGCCATGAGAAGGTTGTCCACCGCCATGCCTGCTGTCAGTAAGCTAGCTCCTGTGCTTGCCGCTGCCGCTCCTGCTGTGATGTCCATGCCTAGAGCCTGGGTACATGGGTACAGCAGGGACCAGAGGGAACAGTGGGGAGTCAGGGAGAGCAGCAAGCACCGAGAAGTAAGCAGCCATGAGGAGATTGTCCACCGCCATGCCTGCTGTCAGTAGGCTGGCTCCTGTGCTGGCTGCTGCCGCGCCTGCTGTGATATCCATGCCTAGAGCCTGTGGAATTGCGTGCGAAGGCAGGGAGGGATGGAGGGAGGGAGAGAGAGCAGGGGAGGGGGGGGAGGGAGGGAGGGAGGGAGGGAGGGAGGGAGGGAGGGAGGGAGGGAGGGAGGGAGGGAGGGAAGGGAGGGAGGGAGAGAGAGCATAGAGAAGTACGCAGCCATGAGGAGATTGTCGACCGCCATGCCCGCTGTGAGCAGACTCGCCCCCGTGCTGGCTGCTGCTGCCCCTGCTGTGATGTCCATGCATAAAGCCTGTGGATGTGCATACAGGAGAGAAGAGGAGAGTCTGGGAGAGAGAGAGAGAGTAGGTGGCGATGAGGAGGTGGCGATGAGGAGGTGGCGATGAGGAGGTGGCGATGAGGAAATGGCGATGAGGAGGCGGCGATGAGGAGGTGGCGATGAGGAAATGGCGATGAGGAGGTTCTCCATCGCCATGTGAGACAAGTTGGCTGTTGAGAATTCTCAAAAACCATCTTGGGAGGTTCGTCCACCGCTTTTTGAGGTGCCTCAGAAGGCGGGGATGAGGAGGTTCTCCATGAGCTCACCATCATGATGATGAGAATTGATGGTCATCCCATGCATTAGAATTTAGAAGAGAGTTGAGTTCATTATGTTGGTGACTGAGCTCAACTCTCATCTCCCAGTGTCGCTTCCTTCCTCGTCATCTCACCTTGGCAGTAGCAGTAGCAGTGGCAGCGGCACAGCACAGCATAGTTCACGCACCCCTCAATGTACGTCGCACAGAAGCAAGCCGCCACCTTCCACTCCAACCTCTGAGTGATTCTCTCCCCCTCTCCCTGTCTCTAGCAGTGACAGCATACCACACACACACTGCCTCTCCCTCCTCCCCTCTGTCTCTACCTTAGCCGTGGCAGCATAGTTCACGCTCCCCCCAATGTACGTTGCACAGAAGCAAGCCGCCACCTTCCACCCCTCCACTCCCAGGGAGGGCCCGGCCAATGAGAAGCCGACAAGTGTTCCTGCAATCGTGCCGGCCGCACCCAGCATGAAAGCTAGCAGGCCAGGACCTGATTGGAGGGGAAGGCAGGGGAAGGGGGGAGAGCAGAGAGGGGGAGAGAAGCCGTATCCCATGCGATAAGGTGAGGGAGGAAGAATAAAACAGCATGGCATGGTATGGTATGGCACGGTATAGTATGGCATGGTATGGTATGGCATGACATGGTATGGTATGGCATGACATGATGACATGGTATGGTATGGCATGACATGATGACATGGTATGGTATGGCATGACATATGATACGATGCTACTGCGTGACGGTAACTCATGACACTATGTTGTATGCATGGTACTGCAACATAGCATGGTACTGCAACATAGCATGGTACTGCAACATAGCATGGTACTGCAACATAGCATGGTACTGCAACATAGCATGGTACTGCAACATAGCATGGTACTGCAACATAGCATGGTACTGCAACATAGCATGGTACGGATGAATATGAGATGCCATATGCCTCATCACCTGACTGTGTGAATGCTGACGTCACATCTGTTTCCAACAGCACCAGAGCCACTGCCATGGGCATGACACGTGTCCACACCTGATTGGAAGGCACAGAAAGAAGAACCACAATCGCGAGCTCAGGAAGTAAAGAAAACAAACAAACAAAAAGACAACTCGACTGCGAAGATATTTTCATGGCGTGCTCAATGTTACGACGTGGGCTCAAGATATTTTTGCCGCTCGCTTACAAAATCATAGACAGGAGAGGCGGTGGGAAGCACTAAATTATAGTCACCTGGGCGCCAGCAGCGCACGCGCACAGCACGGCCCACACAGCTCCGTCTGACAGCCCGCCGCCTGCTGCAGCCACGGCTGTAGCAGCAGTAACACCAATGCCTGCGACGGTTGTAGCAGCAGCAGTTGTAGCAGCACCAGTGGCAGCAGCGACAGCCGTAGCAGCATGAGCCGGCATGGCAGCACCTGCTACAGCCGCGCCGCATGCAATCGCGATCAGCACGCCCAACGAATCCGCCCCGGCGGCTGTAGCAGCTGTGCTACAACAGCTGGACGTCCGAGCAGACACGTGACCGGCACAGGGTCTCTCGTAATCCGAAGCGCTACAGCCGTTGGTCGTTTCGGCCATCAGGCTGCTGACACGGCGACTCGCACCTCGCGCTCTGCTACAGCCCCTCGTCGCATCTGGACCGTAGATGCTTCGGCTACCGCTTCTGATCAACCCTCCGCTACAAGCTACATCGCTGCAGCATTTCTGCCTACGGATAATTGCTCCTCCGCTACAGCCTGTCTGGCTACTGACGACCCCTTTTCTGCTACAGCCTGCCCGTCTCCAGATAAAATCCTCCTCTCTACAGCCTGTAGCTGCAGCGGCGGCTGCAGCAGCAGCCTGGTGGAACGGCGCCGCCGCTGCTGCTACAGACCGAAACGGCATGATCTGAGGAGGAAATTAATTAGTCAGTGCGTCGTAATGAGGAAATTCTCGCGCTGACGACAATGAACGGAATTTTCCTCGTCAGGATGGTCCGGAATGCTATACGAAAGAATGAATCATATTGTAAATGTACTATGTCAGTCTGAGGTGAGCGGCGTGATACTAATGAAGCCTTTCCTTCCCCACCAACGTTCAAGTCCTGAATAAATGCGACGAGAACAGGTCCTTAGCCCATTGAGTGAGGCTGAACGTTTGACGTTTCCAAAATTAGTCTCGTTAGCCTCCTGACCAGCTCTTTCCACAAACAGGTCCTCTTGAGCGGATAATGAGCGGATTCAAGCCATTGGGGTTCCAGACCTCCTCGAGTCCCTGACCTCACCAGGGTCCAAAGTAAGATGCATACTTGCTGCAGCTGAGCTGGTCGCAATGCCATCTAAATACTCCTTATGGATAAGGATGCCGACAAAATTTCCCGCGCTTCTTACCACGACTCGCTTTTACAGACTAGAAGCACGCTTCGATACGCGACTTCGCAAGATAAGCACACTACCTTGTTCATACGGATAAGCAATTTCTTTCTTTAATACATTTGTTGCTGCTGACACTCCAAATGGCAGCTCGTGAATCTCTCCACTCCTCGCCTCGCCACAGTACTGGGCACTTTGATGGTGACACTACAAGCTTATATAACAGAAATAATTAACTCTCAAAATCATTGCTATTCAAATTTGATGTCCCCACCAATAGGAAGGTGATCGCTTGGAAAATACAAGTTCGGAAGGCCCTTCCCAAGCCTAGCATCTTCCCTGCCTGGGAGCCATAGGGTAGACGTAACTGAAAATGACCCTGCGTCCTTTGATATCAGCACATAATCAATTGTTCCACAAAAGGGCGGGTTGAACGTTGTCAGCTCCGGTTCTTGCCCACAACCTCGTCCCTCAACCATATCTTCCATGCCGATACTGTGACCAGCAGCAGTAATTATTGCCTCATGGACCGATGTACCATCCTTCTGTTTCTTGACATCGCATCCCACTGCCTCTGATTCTGCTGTTGCTGCTCCTCCAACCTCTCCTGCTGCAACTCGCCCCGTCGCTTCTCCTGCCCCTGCTGCTGTGGCTGCGCCTCGTGCTGCTGCAGCATCAACTGGTACAGCAGCCAATACTCTGCTGACAGCTGTAGCATTAAGACTTGCCAGTGGTATGGGTGCGATTGGAAATGCAGGTGCATCTGTTGATGATGCTTCTGGTGCTGCTGCTTCTGGTGCTGCTGCTTCTGGTGCTGCTGCTTCTGGTGCTGCTGCTTCTGGTGCTGCTGCTTCTGGTGCTGAGTCATCTAGTGCTCTTGGTGTTGCTGTTGCTTCCGGTGGTGTTGCTAGTGTTGTGGGGAGGACCTGACCTGATGTCAGGTATTTATACACCTGCAATGGGAGGGTAAACAATGAAAACAATTGGGCGCACACACACGCACACACACAGTTATTCGGCTAAATACATAGGACGACTGGATGCAGATGTGATTATAGCAGGTCTCACGGGCACCATGACTCGCCCGGGCGGGCGCCATGACGCGCCCAGACACCATGATCATGACGGGAGAATCTGCAGCTCCAGGCGCAGGAGAATCTGCAGCTCCAGGCGCAGGAAAATCTGCAGCTCCAGGCGCAGGACTGGAGCTCACTGACTGGAGCTCACTCACTGACTGGAGCTCCCTGACTGGAGCTCACTCACTGACTGGAGCTCACTGACTGGACCTCACTGACTGGAGCTCACTGACTGACTGGAGCTCCCTGACTGACTGGAGCTCCCTGACTGGACCTCACTGACTGGAGCTCACTGACTGACTGGAGCTCCCTGACTGGACCTCACTGACTGGACCTCACTGACTGGACCTCACTGACTGGAGCTCACTGACTGACTGGAGCTCCCTGACTGACTGGAGCTCCCTGACTGACTGGAGCTCCCTGACTGACTGGAGCTCCCTGACTGGACCTCACTGACTGGAGCTCACTGACTGACTGGAGCTCCCTGACTGGACCTCACTGACTGGAGCTCCAGGCGCGGGAGAATCTGCAGCTCCAGGTGACTGGTGTGTTTCCTGGCGCGCTAGTGGTACTGACAGATGGATAGGATGTGAATAGAGCGGCTCAGAGCTGACTGTTTTGAGGGGCCAGGAGTTGAGCTTACAGGGTCACCTGGGAGCGAGTTGAAGTCACCACAGATGACGGTGACTGGCGTGTTGCCTGGCGCGCTAGTGGCACTGGCAGAAGGGCCTGATGTGACTAGAGTGGCTCAGAGCTGACTATATAGAGGGGCCGGGACTTCAAAAAAAACTTACAGGGTCACCGGGAAGCGAGTTGAAGTCGCCGCAGACTATGGTAACCGGTGTGCTGCCTGCCGCATTTATGACACTAGCAGATGTGTGACTGTGTGCGGAGGTGACTATAGAGGATCGGAACTGTGCCACTTGCCGCAGCAGGTAGTGTGCTTGAGCCAGCTTCACATCTGCACATGCTGGATCCCTGGGGTGAAGTGGGATGGTGGATGGTACATGGTGAGTGTAAATGGTGTGTATGATGCTGACTGTTGAGTCGACTCAGAAGAGCCGTGCCTCCTGTTGCAGCAGGGAGTGTGCTCGAGCCAGCTTCACATCTGCACATGATGGATCCCCGGGCTGGAGGGGATGTGGGATGGTGGATGGTGCATGTGTGAATGGTATGGTATGCTGGTATGGCATGCTATGTATGGTACAAAATGTGTGGGCAACTGAAAAACAGCTACCACAAGATGAAAAGAAAACTCTCTGGTTGGTATCAAACCAGTTGTTGGTGTTGAGGAATTCTCGACACGCCACAGATACGGACCAGAATATGTGAGATGACGCCACCACCACCACTCGCCCCTCTCCCTGCTGCCCTCTCTCTCCTCCGCTCCCTCCCATCCCTTCCCCACCCCCCTCCCATCCTGCCTTGCTCTCCCCATCTCGGGCCGCTTCTCCCTCTGCTTCCTCCCCCACCCTTTCTTGGAACGCCGCAACAATGGCGACACAGTCGCGCTTGTAGCGCACACGCGGATCATGCAGGTCACGCGATTCAGACAAGTCAGCACCGGCACTTGGTTTCTCAGTCGCCTCCAACGCATGAGGGGCGGATAGGTCTCGGGGTTCTTGGGACAAGTTGGGACTGGGAGTGTATGCTTGGGCCGGCTGGGCTGGCTGGTCTGGCTGGTCTGGGGGAACGAGGTCGTTGAAGTTGATTGGCTGCGAGCGCAGCAGGCGGAATCTGGGGGAGCAAGGGCAAAGAAACCATCAGGAAGCAATTCGGGGAAGCCAGAAGCAGACACGGATGAGCCGACCGACACCGAATGTCAGCAATTCGGAGAAACCATCAGAAAAATGTCGCACTGCACTCACACTTCCTATATCAGTAACTCGACCAGTAGAGAAGCCAGAAAATGACTCATTTCATCCCACATTCTTCCCTGCGTCTTATGAGTTTCCTCAAACCAGCCTTGATTCTGAAATGAGTTTTCATTCATCCCACGCTCACCTGCTAGATCGGTAAAAGATGCCGCTTCCGTCCCTCTGCTTGCCCGGCCTCTTCACATACACTCTTGCTGCCATGGGCTGGCGATAAATTTAGATTCGACTCAAAAGTCATCCCAAGCTCACCTGCTGGATCGGTAAAAGATGCCGCTTCCACCCCTCTTCTTGCCCGGCCTCTTCACATACACACTCTCCCAGCCCGCAGCTGCCATCGGCTGGCGATACACTGCCTCGTACTCGTCCATCTCCTGAACACAGAGGAAGTCAGCAGAAAGGGCTGGCAGCAGCGTGAGAAGCGCCTTGAACCGATTCCTCTGCCTGGTAGGCGGGAGGAGGGAGGGGGAGAGGGGAGAGCATGGGGCAAGTGGGGAGCACGGGTCACCTGCACACAGAGGAATTCAGCAGAGAGAGCCGGCAGCAGTGTAAGAAGCGCATTGAAACGATTCCTCTGCCTGGTGGTGGCAAGAAGGGCGGGGAGGTTGGGGTGGGGGGGGGGCGGAGGAGGGCGGAAGACGCTTTTGGGGAAGGGAACGTTTCAGCATGAGATAGGAAGCAAAAGTAGGAAGGCGATATGAGAAATTCTTGCTGGTGGAGGGACATTTTGATAATTAATGGGGGAGGAATCATGGTAGGGAGGCAGGGAAAGCAAGGAAGGCGATGAGCTTTAAGTCGACTCAAAATTAGGCAGACGAGATGCGAAATTATTGCTGGTGAAGGGACAGTTCCGAGTATTGAAGAGGGGAAACGGTAAGGAGGCGGGGAAAAGCAAGGAAGGCGATGCGTTGCAGTACGGTAGAAAGGCTCACAACAACAACAACAGTACCTGAGGGACTGTGGCGGTGAGTGTGGGAAAAGCTCACTTTTGACGTATGCCTGCGAGAGAGTGAGTTATGCACAAAACGCGCATGTGAGAGGGTTTTGCACTGCACATCGACATGGATTTGACATGATTACATGATGATCACACACACGCGCACGACGTGGCATGCACATGATTATTCACATGCTCACGGACATGCACATTACATCCACATGGCCACATGACACCCCATCACACCCCATCACACCCCATCACACCTCATCACACCCCCTCACACCACATGCCTGCGCCAGGATATTGTAGGAGACGACACGGAGTGACAGCCCTGCAGAAGGGAGCAATGCGAGGGAGAGAGGGGGAGGAAGGGGGAAGGAAAGGGAAGGGACAGCAAAGCAAGGAAAGGAAAGGGAAGAAGAGGAATACAATGGTGATAGAATGAAGGTGCAATGATAATATAATGACCCATCCATCCAAACCCCAAACTCCACTTAACCCATCCCCATATTTAACAAAGCAACCTCCAGTCACCACATCAGTACCCGCTCATGTCCTCACTCACCCTCCTTCCCACTTGCGCCTGATCCCCCACTGACAGCCTGAAACTCCGGAATCATCAATGTTGCTCCTTCCCCTCCGCCTCCGCCTCCGCCTCCGCGTTCCCGCCCCCGTTCCCCGCGCTTCCCCTCATTTGTCCCCTTTTCAGCCTTTTCCCGATTTCCCCTCTCCTTCACTCGCCTAAATTTCTCTCCCTTTCTCCCCTCCCCTCCCTCTTCCCTTCCACCCTCTCCCATTTTCCCCACTCCCCCGCTTGTCCGCTCCCCGATCCTCGTTCCCTTCCTCCCCTTCACAGCTTCGACCTTCCCCCTGGCTTCCCCGTTTTCCGCAAACTCCCCGCGTGCGGGAACTCCCAGCCGTTGATCCAGTTCGGTCGAGCCACGGGGGGCCGTTGATTCAATTCCGATTCCTGATCCGGCTTGGCTTCGATCCACCACCTCCGCACCTCCCAGCGGTTTCTCCGGGATCCCAGGGCTGCTGTCCTCAAAACGCATGTCCGTACAGCGGCCTTCGCGCCGACTAAACAACCTGTGTCGAGGAACCTCAATGCGCGATGTGCTACTAGCACTGACAATAGTAACTTCAGGCGATGTTGAGGAAAGGGGTGTGAATCTCGGGAACAAACTGGCCAGATGAGAATATGAAAGCCGAGAGGGCGAGAGACGAAATCCTGGACAGCTTCTGGCAACGCGGAAGCTGCTGAAAAAGAGCCGCTTCGAGCCGCGCGGGCTGATGAGTAGCGACAGGCGGCCACTGGTAACTGCGGGTGCGACATGGGACCGGGAATGTGCGGCTAAGAGGGCATCGCGTCGAAGGTACTGGATAGCCGCAGCGGCTTTCAGCGCTGGAGATCCAGAGCGAGGAATGGTGATCATGGACGGATGCTGATGCGAGGCGCGAAAAGCGTCAACGGTAACTCGTCGTCCACGTGTTCGGGGTTGACGTCATGTTATGAGTTCTGATCAGTGTCAGTGGCAGATGTTTGACAGAATCATCGGAGAGTGTTTCTAGGAATGTATTTGTCATATCTATGCTTTGAAGAGTGTATATTTTGATTATATAAGGTTATAACTCTCTATACAAGTACCGGGTTCAGCATTTATCCTCACGCACCATCAGCATCCCTTCCAGCCGAGTAGATGACTTTCGTGGTCAGAAACGTGTGAGCAAATCGCGACTACACGTGGCCGTCTCTTCGCAAAGTGTCCTGAAGTTTTGGATTTCATCCCCATGTGGTCTTCATTTTCAGCCTAGCAAACTCGCGTCGCGGGGGACCAAAAGATTCTTTGTTTGGGGCTGATTTTTTTTTTTGGGCAAAGCAGTTCATAATCCAGTTCAGAACGGCCAAGTGCAGAGCACTTCGTCGGTTGTTGAGGGCATGGTGCAGCAGATGGCTGGAAGGAGGGCTCCCGTAAACACCAGTGAACCTGTACAGAACCAGTGCTAACACTTCACAACCGTTTCCCAACCAGTAATATGATATTTCGAAAATGTTTTTCCTCAGTCCCCTCCCCATCCATTTCTCTGCCCAGCAATCGGAACCGGCAGCCCGCCTTTGTGCTTGGAGCACGAGGAAATGACGGACCGCCGTGTTTGCGCGTTTTCGATTCCTTTCGGCAGTGGCTTTGACAGCGACTCTCTCCACGCTCGCGCCCAATACCCGCGGGCAGTTTATATTGCTATTTCCGATTTTTCGTGACCAGACGTATAGAAGGGCAAATACTAAGACTACCTCGTTTCAGTATAGAGGCCAGTGGAAAAACTAAAAAATACTCGGATGACACGCCATTTGGGAGGCATCAACCCTAAACACCTTGTCTCATTGTGTTTAGGGTTGATGCCCTCTTCGTCACATACCATCGATGAGGGTTTTTAGTTTTTGTCCCGAGCTGCGCGCTTGCTATGGACTCGACGAATACATTTATAATATCCCGTAACATAAAAACAATCTTTATTGTAGTCTCAAAAGGGAAAATGGATAAATAATATGCCCCAAGGTATTGGACCCGAGCGCGGAGCGGTGTGCTGTCAAAACCACTGCCCATCGAAATCGGAAACTAGAAAACACGGCGCTCCGTCATTTCCTCTTAGAGCACAGCACAGCACACTCGTCTCGCCCCGTCGTTGTCACACTTCCTTCAAGCTTCCTTAATTTCTTCATCCGTCTCACATATCTTTTTCACTTGCCAATCTCTAGGTCCCCTCTCTTGCTCAACAGTGCGTCGGTGTTTCTAGAGATTTTCAGAAACACAGAAGCTGACGCCGTGCCGAGTCCACACAGGGGAACCTACAGGTTCTAATCACACCAGTCCATTTTCTTGGCTCGAAGCTCAGGTTCCGTATTCCAATAGGTGTACGGACTTCGAGCTCCAATGGCTGCTTCCACCAGCCAAGCCCTTCGCTCAGGGCTCTCCTCCGTGAGAGCAGCGAGCAGCACCCCAGCTGACATCACTTCCTCGCGTCGTGATAGCCAGACTCGCAATAGGCTCGTCGTTCAAAAGACTCCGTTTCTTGGAAAACTTAGTACGCCAGCCGGGCGATTGCTTCTCCCAGCGAGGTCTTCCCTTAACCGTGTACGCTCCTCGTCTGCTCTTCGCGTTAACGCTGTTATCGAAGCACCTCCTAACGGAAGCGTCAGACAAGGCGATAATTCCTCCCCATGGACCCCGGAGGAAGAAGACGGCGGTCGCGCGCTTTACAGCGCTTCGGGGAGATCTTCAAACGGATCAGAAGCGAAGGTCGTCGGAGCGACGGTTATCGCTACCAGCAACGGTAGCGCGGTGAAAATGGTTCTCGCTGACGAGGTCGGTAAGAACGGCGCGGCGAACGGAGCAGCAAAGGCTGCCGCTGTGGAGGAGAAGATCGGCGAAGGGTCCAAGGGTGTGGAGGAGCTTACTGTGGAGGATCGGCCATGGTTCGAGAAGGCTCGGGCTAGCAATGTGCAGGTTCGTCCGTCTCGTTGTTACAAGATGCTTTTCTGTGAAGACGTTATTTCCTTATCGTCTTAGCACAGCGTCCGTAGCATCATGTGACCCCACTGGTCTCGTTTCATGTATAGCTTCGAGTCTTCGAAGCCAGAACGGGGTCGATTACAGAAAAATCGCTTTAAATAAGACGTTTGGATTTTTTTTTTACGTGGCATTGTTGACGTGGCTGACAGGTGTCCGTGACGCCAGGCGGGCGGTGGAACCACTTTAAGACGTACTCCGTCATCCAGCGCACCTTCGAGATTTGGAGCTTCGTTATTGCCTTCCTCGTCAAGGTGCGCGTTAGAAAGGGCTTCGTGATACGTTTTAGTGTTTAACAGTAACGACGCGGGTTAGGAGGAACTCACCGGCACTAAGCATATACACTTCCGAAGGAAAGCAAAATGAAGCACGCGTGCACGTAAACCAGACCGCGAAACCGAGGGCTTTGACGCACATCATACGGTCTAGACGACAATCAGCGGACACACGCGACGAACAGACGAAGAACAGCATTTTCGCCGTTCCCTCTACTCTCACCCCCTTCTCTTCTCCGCTTCTTCCGACCCTTCCCAGGCGTGGCTGATCAACCGGCCGTGGATGTACCGCGGGGGCGTCACGGACGCGAAGAAGGGCGAGCGGCGGCGGGAGCTCGCGCGGTGGCTCAAGGAGGGGCTGCTGCGGCTGGGCCCCACCTTTATCAAGATCGGCCAGCAGTTCTCCACTCGCTCGGATCTCTTGGCTCAGGAGTACATAGCAGAGCTTTCAGAGCTGCAGGTAAGAGGGGCTGGAACGGAAGTTTTGTAGAGTGTGGGTTCGCTCCCTTACTAGGTTGCGTGGGCAAGCCCATCTACGAGGTGTTTGAGCGCTTCGACCGCGACCCCATCGCATCCTCACCACTCTCACCCCCTCCCCCACTCTGCCATCCCGCAGGACCAAGTGTCGCCGTTTGAATCCGACACAGCTTTGGCCATCGTGGAGTCGGAGCTAGGCAAGCCCATCTACGAGGTGTTTGAGCGCTTCGACCGCGACCCCATCGCACTCTGAGTCGGCTACACCCCACTCCCCCCCTCCCCCTCTCTGTCATCCCTCCCACAGGACCAAGTGCCGCCATTCGAGTCCGATACCGCCCTGGCCATTGTCGAGTCCGAGCTAGGCAAGCCCATCTACGAGGTGTTTAAGAGGTTCGACCGCGACCCCATCGCTGCCGCCAGCCTGGGGCAGGTGCACCGCGCGCGGCTGCATGGCAAGGAGGTGGTGGTGAAGGTGCAGCGCCCGGGGCTCAAGGACCTTTCTTCCTCCTTTCCCCCATTTCCCCTTTCCCCCCTTCCCCACCTCCCTCCTGTCCCTCGCGCGCAGGACCAAGTACCACCGTTTGAGTCCGATACCGCCCTGGCCATTGTCGAATCAGAGCTAGGCAAGCCCATCTACGAGGTGTTTGAGCGCTTTGACCGCGACCCCATCGCGGCAGCGAGCCTGGGGCAGGTGCACCGCGCGCGGCTGCAGGGCAGGGAGGTGGTGGTGAAGGTGCAGCGGCCGGGGCTGAAGGACCTGTTTGACATCGACCTCAAGAACCTGCGCGTGCTCGCTGTGAATCTCCAGAAGATTGATCCCAAATCGGATGGGGCGAAGCGCGACTGGGTGGCGATTTACGACGAGTGTGCTTCCGTTCTCTACGAGGTGAGTGTGATTGTGCTGGTATGGGATTGTTGTAGTGAAGGGCTGGAAGGGAGGTGTGGAGCGGAGGTGCAGGGTAGGGCCGCGAGGTGGAGGTGGTGGTGAAGGTGCAGCGGCCAGGGCTCAAGGACCTGTTTGACATCGACCTCAAGAACCTCCGCGTGCTCGCCGTGAACCTGCAGAAGGTTGATCCGAAATCGGTCGGTGCTAAGCGCGACTGGGTGGCCATTTATGACGAGTGCGCTTCGGTGCTTTACGAGGTGGGTGTGCTGTGTGCGTGTGCGTGTGTGGGTGCGTGTGCGTGCGTGTGGTGGTGTGTGATTGTAGTGGTGGTATGGGCTTGCAGTGAAGGGCAGGGAGGTGGTGGTGAAGGTGCAGCACCCAGGGCTCAAGTCAAGGGCATGGACGGACCATGTGAAGTTGACCAACGTGTACTGGCAGGCAGTACCAAGCACAGACCGACCCACTCTTCCCCTCCTTGCCTTCCTTTTTTTTCCACTTCCGTTCCATTCACAGGAAATCGACTACATGAAGGAGGGGAAAATCGCTGACCGGTTCCGGGAGAACTTCAAGGGCATGGACTATGTGAAGGTGCCCAAGATATACTGGCAGGCTGTACCAACCACAGACCCTCATACCCTGTCTTTCCCACCCCTGCCTTGCTTCATCTTCCATTCCACTAACAGGAAATCGACTACATGAAAGAGGGCAAGAATGCTGATAGGTTCAGGGAGAATTTCAAGGACATAGACTATGTGAAGGTGCCCAAGATATACTGGCAGTACAGCAGACCCACAGACCCTCTCTTCCCCTCCCCTGCCTTGCTTCAACTCCATCCACTCACAGGAAATCGACTACATGAAGGAGGGCAAGAACGCGGATCGGTTTCGGGAGAACTTTAAGGACATGGACTATGTGAAGGTGCCCACGATATACTGGCAGTACACAACGTCGCAGATGCTGGTGATGGAATACACGCCCGGCATCAAGATCAACCGCATTGACGCTCTGGATAAACTGCAGGTCGACAGAAAGAGGTGGGCAGGGCACTGGGGGCGAGTGGGGTGGGGTTGAGGAGGGGGTGCCCACGATATACTGGCAGTACACAACGTCGCAGATGCTGGTGATGGAATACACGCCCGGCATCAAGATCAACCGCATTGACGCTCTGGATAAACTGCAGGTCGACAGGAAGAGGTGGGCAGGGCACTGGGGGCGAGTGGGGTGGGGGTGAGGAGGGGGTGCCCACGATATACTGGCAGTACACAACGTCGCAGATGCTGGTGATGGAATACACGCCCGGCATCAAGATCAACCGCATTGACGCTCTGGATAAACTGCAGGTCGACAGGAAGAGGTGGGCAGGGCGCTGGGGGCGAGTGGGGTGGGGGTGAGGAGGGGGTGCCCACGATATACTAGCAGTACACGACGTCGCAGATGCTGGTGATGGAATACACGCCCGGCATCAAGATCAACATTGGAGGGGGGGGTGCGCTACACCACATCAAGATCAACCGCATTGACGCTCTGGATAAGCTGCAGGTCGACAGGAAGAGGTACGGGTCATGGTCTGGGTGGTAAGAGGTTGGGGGGAGGTTGGGGGTGTGCGTGTACACACTGGGGCAGATGCTGGTGATGGATGGAGTACACGCCCGGCATCAAGATCAACCGGATAGACGCGCTGGATAAGCTGCAGGTCGACAGGAAGAGGTACGGGTTGCCTGTAGGTGGCACGCGCACGTGCACATGCATGTGTGCTGCTGGCGCCTCCGGCCATCTATTTTGAGAGTTATATGATAAGCGAATTTCTTGATTCAGGCAGGATCCACCCACCATCTATCTCCGCCACACCCATCATCGCATAATGCTGGCAGGCACCCATCATCGATGTCATGCCAGTCACCTTCTGTCTTTGCATGCTTCTCCGCCTCCCCTTTCCTCCCATCCACTTGTCCTCGTTACAGGCTGGCTCGCTACTGTGTGGAGTCGTACCTGGAGCAGATCCTCAGCCACGGATTCTTCCATGCCGATCCGGTGAGTGTCCGATGGTGATGCTGGTGATGGTGGTGATGGTGATGGTGATGGTGATGCTGGTGGTGATGGTGATGCTGGTGGTGATGGTGATGCTGATGCTGATGCTGATGCTGATGCTGATGCTGGTGATGGTGGTGATGGTGATGGTGGTGATGGTGATGGTGATGGTGGTGATGGTGATGGTGATGGTGATTGTGGTGATGGTGGTGATGGTGTTGGTGATGGTGATGGTGGTGATGTTGATGGTGATGGTGGTGAGTTGATGGTGATGCTGGTGATGCTGGTGATGGTGGTGTTTTTATAGGCGCCTCAGAAATCGCCTCACTTCTCGCCCATTTCCACGTGGATGGAGGAAGTGTCTGTTCGGTGATGGTGATGGTTGTTGATGTGTCGATACGTCACCGCTTTTCAGTACCACTGCTGATACGTCATTGATCCTGAATGATGAGTTGCGGTGGTGTGTGCCTCGCTGTCTCTCCATAGCTGAAATTTCGTGCACCCATGCTGCCATGCACGCTTCCTCATGTGCATTTCTCCTTCTTATGACTGTATGTGTGTGTTGGCATGCATGCCCGTCCATCTGAGCAGCATCCTGGCAACATTGCAGTTGACGATGTCAATGGCGGCCGGCTGTAAGTCATGCACCCATGCACCCATGCACCCATGCACCCATGCACCCATGCATCAATGCGCTCATGCATCCATGCACTCATGAACCATGCACCAATGCACACCCATGCACCCCATGCTGCCATAGAAACACATACACCCCTTCGCACATGCAATCACGCACAGCCAACTTTGGGAGCGTGCAGCCATACAGTGCTCTGTCATACATTGACCACACAGCTCATGCACCCTCCCCCTCACCCACAGCATGCTGCTTTGTTGTCAGCTACGTTTCAATTTCATTTTCTTCTCATTTTCGTTTTTCCTTCTCACGTATTGTTTCCATTTTCATCTCTTGTGTGTCTTCCCTCTGGCCCTTGTTATCCCTCCCTCTCTTGATCCTCTGTTCGGCTCCTGCCGCCCCTGCAACCGTCACTGCTGCTGGTGCTGCAAATGTTGCTGCTGCTGCAATGTAACATCATCCTTGGACCATTCTGTCGGTCGTGACCCCATCGCCCAACACTGTTGACCCTCTCACAGCATCTTCTATGATTTCGGCATGATGGGAACGTAAGCTTCTCTAACCAGTTCTTTAATCCAATTACTAATTTATTTCGATCCAGTAGAGTTTTGAGGCGCCCCAGTTTTCGATACACTCTTCCTTCGATTCGCTGGTTGGTGGGTCCCATTCTCTCTTCTCTCCTCCCCCCCTCTCTCCTTGCCCTGTACCCCAGCTGCAGCATCCCGTCTGATATCCGGGAGGGGCTAGTAGAAGCATTCTACGGGGTGTATGAGAAGGACCCTGACAAGGTGTTAGACACCATGGTGCAGATGGGCGTGCTCTCCTCTCCCCCACTCTCCTTGCCCTGTACCCCCGTGCAGCATCCCCTCCGACATCCGAGAAGGATTAATGGAAGCATTCTACGGGGTGTATTGTATGAGAAGGACCCTGACAAGGTGCTGGACGCCACTCATTCTCCTGCCACTCCTCCCCCCCTTGCACCCCACCTGCAGCATTCCATCTGATATCCGCGAAGGGCTGGTGGAAGCATTCTACGGGGTGTATGAGAAGGACCCCGACAAGGTGTTGGATGCCATGGTGCAGATGGGCGTGCTCGTGCCCACGGGCGACCACACCCACCCTCCCTTCCACCCTCCCTCCAACTCAGACACCCATCCAGACCGCTCTGAACACCTGATGCTGCCGATTTATAACTGCCTTCGCTCCCTCTCCCTCCCTTCCTCTGTGCCATGTGCTCCCTGTGCAGCATCCCGTCGGATATCCGTGAAGGGTTGGTAGAAGCATTCTACGGGGTGTATGAGAAGGACCCCGACAAGGTGTTAGACGCCATGGTGCAGATGGGCGTGCTCGTGCCCACTGGTGACCGCACGGCCGTACGGCGCACGGCCCAGTTCTTCCTCAACTCGTTTGAGGAGCGTCTGGCGCAGCAGCAGGCGGAGGCCAAGGCGAGCGTGCCCATGACCAAGGAAGAAGCCCTGGCTAAGCGGAAGATGCGACTGTCGGCTATCGGTGAGTGGGGATTGCTTGCGTGTCTCTGTCTGCTGTGCTGCTTGCTCATCCCTCATGTGTCTGCCCTTCTTTGCATTTCCTCTTTATCTCTCCTCTCCATGTCTGTGGGCTCTGCCCCCTCACATGCTCCGCCCGTCGTGTCCCACCAACAGGCGAGGATCTGTTGGCCATCGCAGCTGACCAGCTCTTTCCTCTCATGTTCGCTGCTCTCTAACATGCTCCGCCCCCTCATGTGCTCTTTGCCCTCTCATGTGCTCCACCAACAGGAGAGGACCTGTTGGCCATCGCAGCAGACCAGCCCTTCCGGTTCCCAGCCACGTAAGCACTTAACTCAAGGTTTGCTGTGTGGCATGGCGCCGCATGCCATCCATCGCATGGCATAAGATGGCATGGCGGGGCACAGTTTACCACTCTGGATGGCACACGATCGCATGGCATGTGTTGAGTGCATTCGTTGTGCTGGATGGCTTTGGCTGGCATCCGCCACCCATTGCTCCACTGTCCCCTCTTCGTCTACAGCCCATTCCCCACTTGCCCCCCTACTCTCCCTCTCCCACCCACTTCCCCACTTGCCCCCCTACTCTCCCTCTCCCACCCACTTCCCCACTTGCCCCCCTACTCTCCCTCTCCCACCCACTTCCCCTCTTGCAGATTCACCTTTGTGGTGCGCGCCTTCTCAGTGCTGGACGGCATTGGCAAGGGACTCGACGCCAAGTTTGACATTTCTGAGATTGCCAAGCCGTAAGCCCGCTCAAACCCCACTTCCCCCACCCTCCCCCTCCTTCTGCTGCTCCCTTCACTTCTGTTGCTATTTGTTCCTTCTGCTGTTTCCCCAAAACCACCTCCCCTCCCCCCCCCGCCCGCTCTTCCCTTCTTCTGCAACCCTCTCCCTTTCTGCTGTCCTTTCCCAATCTGCTGCGCCCTCCCTTTCTGCTGCTCCAACCCCCCCTTCTTCCGCTCTCTCCCTTTTTGCTGCCTTCTCAGCTTCTGCCACTCATCTCTCTCCACTCTTCCCCCTCCTCCCATCTTGCCCGTCTCCCATCTCGCCCCCTCCCCCATCTCGCCCCTCATCCAGCTATGCTCTGGAGCTCCTTCGCTTCAGGGAGGTGGGCACCGAGCTTTTCTTCAAGGTGAGCCCGGGCTGGTCTTCCTACACATGCTGATGATGCCATGCCGTGAGTGCGAGCGGGCTGCTTACTATCTACATCGATGCCATTGTCATGCGTGTTTTTCGCATCAGATTTTTTTTCCGTTCCACCACTATCAAATGTGTCGGGTGAGCAGGACTTGAAGAAGTGGTGGGACCGCCAGACCCAGGCCTTCCGGAACCTTCTCAGGCAGCCCAGCCGTGTGGAGAAGCTTGCTGACGTCATCCTGAGACTGGTACGTGCTGCGGGTTCTGATTGGAGCACTGAGCCTTCGCTCATTGTGCTGTAGGTGTCGTTTGAGAATTTATGAGATGGACGCACTTTGATCATTTGCTGCTGTCGCGTGGTCAGGATCACCGGACTGTACATTACAGACCCACTCACACACATGTGCACATGCACACCGGTACATTCATACCTAGGCACACCCATGCACGTCCTCGCTTTGCTCCTCTCTCCCCTCCTTGCTGATCCGCAGGAGCAAGGTGACTTGAAGCTGAGAGTGCGGACACTGGAGAACGAGAGGGCATTCAAGAGAGTGGCGACTATGCAAAACACCATTGGCAGTGTAAGAACCTTCTGCTTGATAGCACTCTCCACACCACAAATGCTCGTCACTACAACATATCTTCCATGCTTCCAATGCTTTTGTCGTTCCCTATTTTGTGTCTATCAGGCACATCACTGACTCCCCTCCCCTCTTGATACCATCGTTGCAAAAAAAAATCCACCCGTGCAGGCCATAGCAGCAGCCACCCTGGTGAATGTTGCTTCAGCCATGCACATTGCCGCCCGCAGAACGCCTGCTACGGTGCTCCTGCTAGTCAGTGCCGTGTTTGGCATGCGCGTTCTGATTGGTCTCATGCAAGTGAAGAAGCTGGACGAGCAGGAGAAGCTTATTATGGGTGTTGCATGAGTACAGTCTTAGTCCGTCCTGAAGTGGTGGCCCATGAAATATACTATTAGCACCTGGAAACAACTTGTATTATTAGTGGCTACAGTGTATCTTCATAGAGTGTCGAAGGTTGGGAAAATATGTCACAAAGGCGTGTGTGATTTTTTTTATAGGTTCGTATATTAGGTTGAACTTTAGGTGGTAACCAGTTTCGCCAATGTTTGCAGGAGATTTCGCCAATGTTGACTCCGATTTCACAAGTACCAGGTGCGAACCTACAAAGGTGAACAAGATTCGAAAAATATGCACAAACTTTGTGTAGCACACTGAACCGAGGTTTCAGGCACGTACGAGGAACCAGCGAAGCTCGCGAATCTTTCGTGCACCAATGGAGGCACATCCGAGACCCAGAGCAGAGTCTCCCGCGCAAAGCCCACCACGTGGCATGCGTCGTGGCACGATGACGTTTCGTGGGTGCGTCTCATCCGGCGCAGGCGATTTGGCTGTGAAATTCCCGCCAACAATCTTGAAACATCCTCAACCATCATCACCCCCAACGTGAAGCCACTCCCACGGTTCAAAATATCCACATTCCACCTTCATGCAGTCCCATATGCGTTGCTTTTTTCACAATGTCCGCTTCACTGGAAGAAGCCCATGGAACCACCGCACCTACCGCTGCTCCCGTTTCTGCAAACGCGCAGGTGCGTTGTCGTCATGCAACGGTCGATAAGACCACTGCTCGCCGCTTAGACGTGATAGATCTCGACCAAGTGATTGCTCGTGTTCCCGCACACAACACCCCGCTCAACGCCAACGACGACACGCTGGCGTATTTTGACGCCGGAGAAGTTGACTGTGACGTAGAAGACACTGCTGACGAAGATACCGACCCTGCAATGGCGACAGACAGGTTCCGCTTGGAGCCGTACGAGGTTATGCAGCTGGCGTGGATTCGCCACGACTACGACGCGCAGTATCGCGGCCAGACCCGCCTGCAAGGGCAAAACCGAGACGTCATGTTATTCGAGAAGCTGCGGGAGCGCCACCCTGAATTCCGCCATAAGCTGGCCGCTGTGAAGGCAAAAGTCTTCCGCATGGAGGCGCAGTATAGGCATGTGGGGGATCTCCTGCTCAATGACTCAGGCAAGGGCCGCCCCCCGAAGATCCCCATCTTCTACGACATCTTCGACAGAATCTTGGGGGATCGCGCGAATGCTCGTCCGCCCGCGCTTGCCGGTAGCCTGCCTGGCGCTAATGTCGTTAACTTGCCGTCAACCAGCACCACGGCAAGTAAGTAAGATGTTTTGTGCTTTCTGGTCGCTTTTAATGTCAATAAGCTGACCCTGTCATAAGGTAGTAGCTGCTTAACAATTTGAGATACACAGCTAAAAACCTTAACCCCGAACCACACTGCTGAGCCACATTAACCCCTCCCTCTACACCCCCACCCCTTCACATTCATCATTGCAGATCGTGCCGTGCCTACTCCAACAGCCACGGCAACTGCGATTCAAGACGCTGCACCGGCGTCGCCAATTCGGCCGAGGGCAAGGCTTCGCACCCCCTCGCGCTGTCAGAGGTCCACTGGTGATCCCCGATTGATCCTAGGGAAGGGTTACAGGCATCTTGGCCTGGGGGGTTATGGGCGCACTGACCCGCTACTTAACAAGCCGTTTTATCCCAATGGTCTAGTGGTTCGGATTCTGACATGGTTTCAGAGCAGGTCTTCCGCTAGGACCGTTTTTTTTGGGCCCACCACAGCGCTGCCCCACTAGCCACCCCTAGCGACCCTCGTGCCGCACCTACTGCCCCTAGCGCCGCCCTCGTGCGGCCTGCCCATCGCCCCTAGGCCCTGGCCCGTCGCCCCTAGGCCCTTCGCCCCGGCCCGTCGCCCGTCGCCCCGGCCCGTCGACCGTAGGCCCGTCGCCCCTTGCCTCGGCCCGTCGCCCCTAGGCCCGTCGCCGCTAGGCCTGTCGCCCCGGCCCGTAGCCCGTCGCCCCGGCCCGTCGACTAGGCCCGTCGCCCCTAGACCCGGCCCGTCGCCCCTAGGCCCGTCGCCCCTAGGCCCGTCGCCCCGGCCCATCGCCCATAGGCCCGTCGCCCCGACCCATCGACCATAGGCCCGTCGCCCCTAGCCCTGGCCCGTCGCCCCTAGGCCTGTCGCCACGGCCCGTCGCCCCTAGGCCCCGTCGCCCCGGCCCGTTGCCCCCCCCCCTCGGCCCGTCGCCCCTAGGCCCACCGCCCCGGCCCGTCGCCCCTAGGACCGTCGCCCCGGCCCGTCGCCAGTCGCCCCTAGGACCCCGGCCCTACGCCCGTCGCTCCTAGGCCCGTCGCCCCAACCCCGGCCTGTCGCCCGTCGCCCCTAGGCCCCGGCATCGGTCCGTCGCCCCTAACCTCGGCCCGTCGCCCGTCGCCTCCCCTAGGCCCCGGCCCGTCGCCCCTAGCCCCGACTCGCGCCCGTTGCCCCTAGGCCCCGGCCCGTCGCCCCTAGGCCCCGGCCAGCCCGTCGACCCTAGGCCCCGCGCGCCGCCTCTTGCGGCCCGCCCCTTCGCCGCTGCAGCCCGCGAGCCACCCTTGCAGCCCCGCGCGCCGCCCCTGGTGGCTCCCTAGCCACCCCTGCTGCCCTGCTAGCCGCCCCTTGAGGCCCTCTCGCAGCCGCTGCTGCCCTGCTTGCCGGCCCTCTCTGCTGCCTGCGATGTTCCCTGCGTTGCCCAGTTTCTGCCCGCCCTGCGTGCTGCGCCACTATGGCTTCTCTCCGCGTTCTAGCGTTCGATCATGAGGGCCACCCGATCTAGTTTGACACGTGGCTTCACGACCTGCAGCTGTACCTACTGAGCGACTCTAGGGACAGTGTTTCGTTGTTTGACCACACGTCTGGTGCTGCTCCCGCTCCTCCCGCCACAACTGACAGTGCCACTCGCTCACAGTGGCTTACTCGTGACGCTGCTGCTCGCTTAGCCATTCGCAACCACCTGCCGTTAGCCGAATGCACTCACTTCGGGCAGCACAGGACATCACAAGCCCCGTATGACGCTATTGTCGCCCGTTACTCCTCGCCTGCCACTTCTGCTCTAGGCCGTCTTCTCCTGCCCTACCTGTTTCCTGAGCTGTCCGCCTTTGCCACAGTAGAGGACCTGGTTTCCCACCTTCGCACTAGCGACGCTCGCTACCGCACTGCCCTCCCAGCAGAGTTCCTTGACAGGAACCCGCCCCCGATGTACATCACTCTCTACTTTATAGCCACCCGCCTCCCTGACTCTCTTCGCTCTGTCAGGGACCACTTTCTCTCCCTCGACCCCACAGTCCTCACTATTGACCTACTTGAGCAGCACCTCCTTGTAGCTGAGACTAGTGTAGTCGCTGTAGGTGCTGCTCGTGCCACTCCGCGCACACCCTTCTTTGACGGGTGCTCCCCCTCCCCCCTTGCCCCCTCCTACGCCTCTGCTGCTGCTGTCGACGTCCCTGGTGCTGAGGACGTCGGGGCTGCTTTTGCTAGTGCGAAGCGCCGCAGCAGCAAGGGCAAGGGTGGCAGGGGTGGTGGCGGTGGCAGCGGGGGTGGTGGTGGGGGCAGCGGTGGAGGTGGTGGAAGCAGTGGAGCTGGTGGTAGCAATGGGAGTGGTGGCGGGAGTGGGGGCTTTGGTGGCGGCGGTGGAGGCAACGGTGGGAGTGGCAGTAGTAGCAACGGTGGGAGTGGTGGCGGTCAAACTTGAGCTCAGCGTGGAGGTTCTGGAGGAGGCCAGAGGCAGCAGCAGCAGCGTCGGAGCGAGATCCCATCACCCCTGCAGCTTCGTGAGTGGTTTGCTCAGCGTGGGGCGTCTTGGGGTAGTGGTAGCTGCCCGTATGTCATTTGCACGGGTGACCGTGCTGGTCAGACATGCGGGAAGCCTCACATTCAGCACCGCTGCTTCTCCCGCCTCGACGACGCTTGGCGCACAGAGTTTAGTGACGAGGCCGGGCGCCCCCGCTGGGCAGAGCTGCTTAGGTCTGGAGTTGCTATCTTTGACCTAGACTATGATGCTATCCTTGTTGCTATGTATGCCTTGTCTGTTAGTGCTGAGGGTGACTGTTATCTGTGTGTGCCGCCTGACCCACGTATAGAGGCTGCTGCTCTAGGTGCTAGTGAGTCTACTCTCCCTGGTACTGCGCCTGCTGAGGCCTTGCACACCTTTACGCTTGACTCAGGTGCTTCTCGCTGTTTCTTTCGCGACAGCACCACCCTCACTCCTCTCTCTGCACCTGTACCGGTCAGGCTGGCTGACCCCTCCGGGGGCCCAGTCCTCGCTCGTTCCTCCACTGTGCTCCCATGTCCGGCGGTTCCGTCCGGCTCACTGTCAGGCTTTCACCTCCCCTCGTTCTCTACGAACTTGGTGAGTACTTCTGCCCTCCAGGACGCGATGGTCACTACCACCACTCCTGGGGGTCAGCGCGTGTCGATCTGCACGTGTACACGGACGGGCCGTCACCTGGCCACGTTCATTTGTTGGGTAGGGTCGAGTCTGTACACACTGGCTACCGAGCCTCCTCAGGTAGCTGCGTCTGCTCAGGTGTCCGCGTCAGGTCAGGTAGCACCCCCTTGCTCGTGTCGCCTCCTGTCGCACCAGACTCTTCTGTGGCATCACCGCCTGGGTCACCCCTCCCTGCCACGCCTTCGTGGCATGCACTCCCGCCTCCGTGTTTCTGGTCTTCCTAGGTCTCTACCTCCCCTCCCGCCCTCGCCTGCCCCGCCCTGCCTTCCTTGCGTAGAGGGGTGGCAGTGCGCCGCTCCTCACTCCTCCTCGTTTCCCCCGACGACTGCTCCCTTGCAGACTCTCCACATGGACGTGTGGGGCCCAGCCCGCGTCAGTGGGTAGGGCCGCGAGCGCTACTTTCTACTGGTTGTTGACGACTACACTCGATACACCACGGTCTTCCCCTTGCGCAGCAAGGGGGAGGTCCCTGATGTCTTGATCCCTTGGATCCGCGCAGTCCGTCTCCAGCTCCGCGAGCGGTTTTGTGCGGACCATCCTGTCCTGCGTCTACACTCTGACAGAGGTGGTGAGTTCTCCTCCGACCTCTTACGAGACTTCTGTCGTGGGGAGGGCATTCTCCAGTCGTTCACGCTTCCGGACTCCCCTCAGCAAAATGGGATTGCTGAGCGCCGCATTGGCCGAGTCATGGAGGTGGCTCGTACCTCCATGATCCATGCGGCTGCTCCCCATTTTCTGTGGCCGTTTGCGGTCCGTTACGCTGCGCATCAGCTCAACCTCTGGCCCCGTGCCTCCTTGCCGAAGACCACGCCTACACTGCGTTGGACGGGGAAGGTTGGTGATGCGTCGGTGTTCCGGGTCTAGGGCTCTCGTGCCTTTGTTCGCGATACGTCCACGGACAAGCTCTCCGCCCGCGCTATTCCCCGCGTCTTCCTTGGCTTTTCCCCTGACGCGCCTGGCTGGCAGTTTTACCACCCCACCTCGCGCCGTGTCTTCCCCTCTCAGGACGTCACGTTTGAGGATTCGGTTCCCTTTTACCGTCTCTTCCCCTACCGCTCTACCCCTCCCCCACCCCCGCCGCTCTTCCTTGCTCCAGGTCCCCCTCCGGTAGACCCCCTCCCCCCCCCAGGGTCCTGCTCCCTCTGGTGTGTCTCAGGTAGACCCTCTCCCTGGTACTGCGCTTGTTGAGGTAGCTGTCGGCTCAGGTACTGCTCGAGGTGCTGCGTCTGGGGGTACTGCATCTGGGGGTGCGGAGCCTGGGCGTGCTGAGTCTGAGGGTGCCGGGTCTGGGGGTGCTGAGCCTGGGGGTGCGGAGCCTGGGGGTACTGAGCCTGCGGGTGTGGAGCCTGGGGGTGCTAAGTCTGAGGTTGCGGAGTCTGGGGGTGCTGAGTCGAGGGTTACCGCTACTTCTGGAGGTCCTGCGGGTGCTTCGCCACGATTGTCTCCCTGGTCGGAGCCTCTCTCCCCACAGCAGCTACGCGAGTGGTTTGCTCAGCGCTCCCGCCATCGGAGTGGAGCTGCCGGAGCTAGAGGCTCTGCCGCTGGAGACACTGGAGCTGGGGGTGCTGGAGTTACTGCTGGAGCTGGTGGTACCGGAGGTGCTGTAGCTGCTGGTCCTGGAGGTGCTCGTATCAGGAGTACTGGAGTTGGTGTCCTAGGGTACACAGCGCACGGCATCCTCGCCGAGTGGATCGCCATCGAACCCGCTGCTAACTCCGCCGCCAGCGTCCCGGGTGTCGGATGACGAGCCCACAAATGCCGCCGTGACGGCCTCTCCCGTCCGCTCACACGTCCTCGGTGCGCGCACGGGAGCTTCACTCCGTGGGTGTGGT